GGTTTCTTCCAAAATCTCGATACCCTAGCGACAGAGGAGCAGTCGTTTAGGCTAGTTCTGGATGTACGAAGTTCGACACGGTTAGGAAGCGAGGCTGAAGACAGCCGTCTCTCTGGTAGGCACATCGCGCGTCGGCATCATGGAAGAGAGCTCTGTGGAGTAAAGTTCATTGGCACAGCCGTAGAAAAGAGATAGGTCGGGGAATGATCCGGACTACGACCAGCCGAAATGAACGGTTCTTTGGTAGAACTCGGCCATCCATCGAAATCGAATGAGCGCTAGAACGCTTTTTCTTCATCAAGGTACAGTACCGTGTTTTGGAAGCATTAAACTGTACAATATTGTTGCGTACCCAAGCAGTGACAACCTCCAGGTATCTGGTGTGAAAGAAAGTCGCAGCTGGACTACTTCTTGTCTCTAGCTCCCTCGGCTTGTCACAATAAATTAGTAAATGTGGAGTGCTGTCATCAGCAAACCTGTGGATTGAGTTGACCGTACAAGAAAGGAGGTCGTTGAGATGTAAGAGGAACAGTATGGGATACAAGACCGATCCCTGGAGAACATCCACGTTGTGGGATGAAGAGGAGAACCCGTCAACCACGACGCATATCTTGCGGCCAGAGATAAAGTCAGCCACCCATCAGCACAGCTTCTCTGGGAGACAAAAGGATGGAAGTTTGCATAAAAGGGCAGCATGGCACAGCTGATCGAATGCTTTCGTGATATCAAAAGCATAGACATCAGCGTCACCATAAAACTGGATGAGTTTACTCCACAGTTGCGTGACATAAGCTAGGAGGTCCCTCGTAGATCGCTGGTGCCGGAAACCATACTACCTGTCACTAATCAAACCGTGACGTTCAAGGTACTTTAGAAGCTCTCAATTTATGCATATATTTATGAGTTTACTTATAACAGAAAACATACCTAAGGTCTGTAATTGTTAGGGTCCGAGTTGGCAGCACAGATCTTATCAAACACTTCCGCCTTAGCCTTTGAGTCGGTTTCAATCGTTGCATCTTCGTACGTAAGCGGTGGGAGGGTACGAAGGCGGTGGGAGGGTACTCTTTGAGAAGTTCCTTTCAATCTGCTCGACCAGCGTCCAGAAGGACAGACTGCTGTTGCGCTGCGACATAACCCTGTTCGTAAGTTTTACATCCTGCTGTTCTTTGGCATTGCGAACCGCTTCGTTATATTTGTTTCTGGACTTGAGACATCGGTTTGTCGGCTCTCTACAGTTAGGTTTTGTAAGAAGGTTCTTGCTTGATCTTCTGCCGACGAGCAGTGCCGCACGATTTGTTGGACCAGCCAATGGACCCTGGTTTAGGCACTTTCACTATACGAGAAGAAATACATCTCCATCACAAAATGTTGTTTCGATTATTGTCAGCGAAACAAACATCAGGAAAAGCGAAGAAAGTGCCTGATTCCTTCTCTGTCAGCAATTTTGCGACCTGGGCGAGTTTCTGCTGCCATATCTATTTCTAACCGAAACCTGGCCTCCACGATACCGTGATGTGAGTTACCCAGAGGAGACAAGTCAGCAGTGCTGTAAGCTACAGGATGCATGGTCAGAAAGATATCCAGCAGATAACTGGCGTATGAAGAAATGCTGGGTAAAAAAGTAGGGCTCGTCACCAGCTGGGTAAGACCTTGGGTAATAGCGAACGCTTGAACAGCACTGCCTGCTGCAACGGTCTTGTTTGATCCCAACCAGAGCTCATTGTGGGCATTGAAATTATCGAGCAGAACTACCTCCGAAGGCGAGACATCGATGTTCAGGAAGTCAATCTTGACAGCAAGGTATTAAATTAGCTCATTCCAGTTATGGTCCAAGTGAAAGCAATAGATGCAGAAGATAAATTTGGGGAATGGTTTGAAGTTAAGGCGAAGCCCCAGAATGTCCATCCGGCCTGATTCCAAAGAAACGTTGCTAGAGCAGGAAATACTGTTCTTCTTCATATTGGAGCAGAATCGGAGATTTGGGTATCCACCAAGGAAACCATGCTGCACAGTTTATGGAGGAGATTTTGTCATCGATGTTGATCCTCGAGTCCACCCTCCACCTGGACAGACTGAATTTACGCCCGGAATTGTTAATACTCGATGGATCCATCATCATCTATTTCTTTGTTGTGAAAAGAAAGAGAATAGAAGCGACTGCGTAGCTTTGGTGTGAAAATATGTGGACATACTTAGACCGCCTCGGTCAAGTGGTCCTTATCTATCACCTTCTTTTTGCTTGTGAATGATCTGAAACAGACCTGAAGTGTCCCGTTGGCGGACTTGTACCGTCATCCGGCAATCGGTACTGATCGGTATTCCTTAACGCGGCTACAATCACTTGAATGGGAATTGTAGAATTTGCCACGGACCAGCGGAGGTATTACGTAACTTAACAAGTGACATTATGTCCTTTTTGACATTAGGTAGGTTTTTTATGACATTATGTAGGTTTTCCTGCAACACGTGAATCCTGTCGCTCAGTAGGGGGTGATATGATCAGTTTTTCGTAAACAAATTAAATTATTCATCTATGATGTAATGTAGCAAACAAAGACGCTTATTTGTTGTGTATATTTAATAGGTAAACGATTATTTTTACATAAAAATACATGTAATAAAGAAAAAGTTACAATGTATTTTTCACCGTAAATGGTAAAATAACACAAATCATGTGAATCTAACAAATTTTAATTTTTTTTGTAAAATCCCAGGACATGACACGGAAGTGCCAGACGACCGATAAGACGATCTTTCAGGACACGGCCCATGGTGGCTGGTGACACCAAAACTATTTCTAGGTTATATTAGTTTTACAAGCTCTAACAAGTTGGTGGTGCTGCGAACGTATGGTTTGTTTTATGCGGTTTCACTTTTCCCAAAAGTGAAGAGTGAAGTGAACATTTATGGGAACCGTGAGCTATTGTTAGAATGTGCGATTTCCATATACGAGTAGCACGACTGATTTTGTTCCTACTAAAATTCAACACATACATTGCCTGTTCAGTACAATATGATGCCCATTGCAGTGCAGATATTTTTTTGTATGTCAGAGGATTGGCGGATTGGAATTCGAATTCCAGATTTAAAATCAAATGATTCTTGACAAAATAATCCATTAGCTATGATATTTACTCATATGAGCTACAACCGCTAGAATTTCCTGTTCTAGAATGGTGACCATTGTGTTCTTGTGACAGTGTAATTTGCGACAAACAATTGCAAAAGTAATATGATATGAATGTGATGTAGAATGTCATAACATATCAAATTCGTGCTAGATGATATATTATCAGATATCATGAACATAACAGCAGCAGCGGTGACCGCAGTAGTAGATTCTTCGGTCTCCTGATCAGTCGCCGTGCGCTGTGCGGGTTCGAGTTCCGTCCCAGGAGAAATTTTTCTCTTGGCTATGGATGTTGTGATTGTCCGTAGGTGGTAGATGGTCTCTGACTGTCGAACGCGGAGGTACCATCCGGCGGTTCCCGTAGGCGGAGCCAGAATGTGTGCATGTTGCATGCACACGTGTTCTTCCCTCGCCAGAGACCGTGTGGCGTTCCCCCTGTCCCATGTATCCCCCTATAGCCCCACGGTACCCAATGGGTGTTTAGGCCTTAGGCCTCCGTGGTAGTTGGAGTATAAAAAAAAATATAACGAATTCTGGATATATCGGAACATAAATTATGTTAAAATATACAGCATAATATGTTTATAAAATATCTTTTAAATAACTTCACGTTGATTTCAAAATTACCTACGGTAAGTTATGTTTTTCCAGCGAACCTTCGGTCGGATCGTGCAGATAACCCAACTCTTCCCAGTAGCTGCTGTGATTGGGCAGATGCTTTGTTGTGAAGTATAATTTAAACAGTACATGCTAATGATGATGCTCAATTGTTAACTGGCGCCGGCGTCTAGACATCGCTGACTGCGTCGTGGCGTCAAAGATCGTCGTTGGCGTCGACGTGTCGCCACCCTGTCACCATGTCGTAAGGGCGCCTCGCAGTCGACAAAATGGGTTAATAGCAGCTAGATATTTACATATTAAGGTTGTTCGCATGCTCGTGGCAATCTCGCTCGTACCCCAGCCTCCGCCAGCCTTTCACGCCTTTCTGTCTTGTCATTTCACGCTTCACTACATATCGCGCTCCTCACTCGCCCCCAACCCCTATTCCCCTATTTGCTCACCCCCTCTCGTTTCCTGCCCGTATTCTAATTCGATGCGTTCAAGTATGCGAGCATAACGACAACGAAATTTATTAATAGATTTTATCCAACACGTTCCTGTACATAACTTGTAGATATAAACGACAGGCAGGATTACTTGAACGTAGAGTTGTCCGACTTGATCCGATTGAAGGAATCCTGTGGGGGATCGGGTCGGACCGTATCCAACTTCTCAGTCCGATCGGGTCCGATTGAAGGGAAATACAAAACCATTCCACCGCATCGCATTTGTTTAGCGGACCAGCGGCCCGGCGATCGGTCCTGTGAATATTATCAAGAGATACAGCAAGTTCGCGGATGCTATGAGCTTCTAAACATTGAACGGTTTCAAATATCCAACTGACAGAAGAAATACACGGTAATGTACACAATAAACTTACAGCTGTAATACGATTTATACGAACAATGAAGTCGTAATAATTTAGTTTAGATTGTTAACACTCCAGTTTACACAATACAGAATGTTGTTGTATATAGAACAAAAGACTAATTGAGGGGTTTGGAAGTAAAAAGGTTCAAGTGCACTTTTTTAATTAAATGGTCTAAGTGCAGAATATCATACCTAAAGCATATCCTAACTTGGTGGTAAAATGATTTAAATGCAGGCAACGTTCCCTGGCGCCATCTCTCATAGTCTTTGAGAACATATCAAAATATCCACTAATACAGTATGTGCACTTGAACCATTTAACTTCTAAGGCTTTGGCAACTATTTTTAATGTTTTACGTGTGACGTGATTTCAACGTTTTACTTATTCATTTTGCAGTGTTGGTAGTGTTATAATAATAAACAAAATGAGTACTGATTGGGAACGCAAGGTATCTCTCAGGAGAATTAAGTATCAATAAGATGTACAAATTATACCAGGAGTTTTGTATTGACAAACAAGAATTACCAGTAAAAGAGTCCTATTACATGCATATTTTCAATACGGAATTCAATCAGTCGTTGTGACAATTTACAAAATTTAATAAATATTCTACAAATGAAGACGTGATTAAAAATGCCAAGCAAGATCTCGAGCTGCACCAAAGAAAGGCCCAGAAAGCAACAGATACCAAAAAAGCTGATATTGCTGAAAATAAAAATGATTCTAAAAATACGGCTGTAATTTGTTTTGATTTGCAACAGGCATTGCCAACGCCATTGTTAACCACCTCTAAAGTATTTTATCTTCGTCAATTATGGACGTTTAATTTCTGTGTCTTTGACTTACTGACTGGAAAAAGTTATATGTATGTATGGAACGAAACTATTGTATCCAGGGGCTCACAGGAGATAGGATCATGTTTACTAAAATTTGTGCAAAGCCTGCCATCTACAGTGACGAAGATTATTGCATACAGTGATTCTTGTGGAGGACAAAATAAGAATAAAAACATTGCTAAACTATTTAGTTTTATTGTTCAAGCTACACATATATCTTAGATTCATCACAAGTTCCTTGAACCCTGGCACACTTACATGGAATGTGACCGTAATCGAGAAGAAAAAAAGGCAAATCCCTCAAGTTTTTATCCCCTCAGATTGGGAGACTGTAATAAGAGGCCAAATTTATTCTGTACAATATGAACAAAGACGATTTTTACTCTTTTTCGCCGTTCAATGAAATTATGAACGAACCAAAAAAAAAAATAGTGACAGTTGCCCCTTAAAATGGAAAGAAATTTGCTGGTTTGCTTACTATAAAAGTGAAAGGCTAACATTTAGATACAAGAGTACCCTAAACATTGATGTAGAGTTTAGCAGTTGCTTAATGGCAACCTCAAAAGTTGGGCGTCCGTGTTTTAACTTTTCAATACTAAAGGCTTTGAATGGCACTTCAATAAAGATTAAAGTCGCCAAGAACAAAAACTTGCTTAGCTTATTGGAATACATTCCGCCCATTCACCATACATTTTATAAAAACATGAAGCACGATGGGAAAGCATTAACAAAAAAAGGAAAAAAGAAACAAACACAGGCCCTGACATCAAGCAAAAAAGTACCTGATATAGATGAACCCCAACCAAGACCAGCTGATTCAGATGAAGAAAATGATGAAGAGATCCAAATATTAGATTCTGATTATGAATAAGAAATTTTGTTATAGATTATTTTTGAATAATGTTTGGTTTAGTATGGTAGTTACACTTGAATCATGTTACCACCATAATTTTTGTAACATGTATAATGATTCAAGTACATTTTTGCAAAAATGACAATAAAAAAGCAAAATTAAGATAATGTTTTTTGTTTGTAATGTTTTATTGGCATTTAAATAAACTTAATATAGTATCATACTTTGATAAATTTATTCCTGGAATTTTCAAATTCAAGTAAACTTTGAAGCCATTTATCTCAGAACTACTAAAAATGTACTTAAACCCTTTTACTTCCAGGCCCCTCAATTGTCATACCCACTACTTTTTTATTATTTATCATCCTTGCTATAGAACAGATGTTAAAAACCTTCTCCGTAAACAATAGACTCTAATACTGTATAATGGATTTACCTTTCAATATTTAATTAAATCTGATGATCAATTGTTGGACGCTTTTATGGCCTCGTCGATTTTCATAGTTATCTACTGTTCCGCTCTATTTTGAGGTTATGTTGCAAATATCCATTTACAGCAAACTATTAATGCTTTTGATTTATATGTTATATATCCAGGAATTTTCTACAATCCGAAAAGAAAACAAAGCCTCACAATACAGGAGCGCTGTCGCTGACACGGAACAGTAGAAATCTAGAAATATCCCAGCCTTTCTGAAGGAGAGAAAAGACTATGAAAATTGAGGAGGCCATAAAGGCTGACGATGCGGTCTTGAAAATCATCAATCTACCGTACATCTGGCAACAATTTGTACGAATTCAAACCAGTCCGGACCCAGTCTGTTAGTCGAATTGTCGTTCGGTACACAAGTCATTCAGAACGAAATGGGTTCAACATTGGAACGAATCCAGGTTCTACCTAGATCCTTTAATGGACCCAAACCGCCCAACACTACTTTGAAAGGGCTATCATTTGTTGCGAAATCGCTGTATTTATACTCAGCGGCAAAGAAAATAGAAGACCCAGAGCCATTCATTTTGGTTGGTCGAAGTCCAGATCACCGAGGACCTAATCTGGCACGAACACATCGTCAATAGCGGCAGCTACTGAGAAAAAGCTAGGATATCTGTTTAGGGCTAAGAAGTAATTTTCTCAGCATGACCTTCTCACTCTATACAAGGCCCTGATAAGGCCTAGCCTCGAGTATTGCTGCCACCCCGACTACATTATTTATGCTTGATGGTGTCCAGAGGGCTGTCTTACTGATCAATGACTCTTCTCTAACATACAGTCTCGGGACCCTTTCGCACCGGCGGGCCGTCGGCGATCTAGCTCGCCAGAGCTCTCTTACATGATGCCGCCGCGGGAAGTGCCTGCCAGACAGACCCGCCTGACTTTGACCTCCCATGTCGAACTTCGTACGTCCAGAACTGGCAAAGCCTAAAAGCCAGGGCCGCGAGACTGCTCTGCGGAGCTTAAAGAAACTTTGTTCATCCAACTGCCTAAGGTTCGTAGAACTAGGAAAGGCCTCCTCATCGCCCCACAATCTCGATACACTAGGGAGAAAGGAGCGGTCGTATCGGCCAGTTCTGGATGTTCGAGGTTCGACACCTTTAGGATGGGAGGCCAAGGTCAGGCGAGTCTATCTGACAGGCCAATGCGCGACTGCATCATCGAGGAGAGCTCTGAGGAGCAAAGCCAGTAGCTTAGCGGTACAAGAAAGCTAGATCGCCGACGGCCTACCAGTGCGAAAGTGTCCCCAGACTGTCCCATAGAGAAGAGTCATCAATCAGTAAATGCCTTTTGCAGAGGAAATATTAGTCCTCAGGATAGTTTCGACTCATTCTGATTTTTGCCACTGTCACTGATTGACTGTCGCTCTCTGAACTGTCAGAAGGTTCTGTACGAACAGCGGACTAGCTGTCGGCAAACAGTCAGAAACGGTACGAACAGGCAACATCTCTCTGATTCTGATTTTGACACAACAAACCTTATAACGTTTTGATGATTAGTTGCTGAATCAAAAGCGATTCAATGTATAAGAACACTCGCACTTGACAGCCCGTCAGTCCGCATTTTAGACGAAGGTTATTTTATATTCAAGGATTATAAAGTACTCGGAAGGGGCTTTTAATACAGGTATCACAAAACCCCCATTCCATTTAAAACATGTTAGAACATGGCATCCAGATGCCTGAAAAGCTCTGTATCACATTTAAGGCGTCGCATAACACCTTTACGAGAAACCCTGTATCCTACAATATTGTCCAGTCCGTTTATTCTAAGACAAGCAGATGTCACATTTCGCAAAAGAATTTTCCGCGGCATTTCCGAAAAGTTTACTTTTATATGTATGTACACACTATGGAATGGTGCAGTGAGTAGTCCTTTTTTCCAAAATAAAATCCCCAGCCTGCACACAAAGCAACTGCGGTAAAGAGAAACAGCCGGTCCAATGAGGTTAGATAAACTAGAGTGGCTTTCATCTTCGTAATAAGCTTCAACACCCAAGAATGATAAACATATTCCACACATTCCACAAAAATATACCCAACTCAATTTAAAACCGTGTTTGCGCAAGAAGAGATGTTCGGTGATGCTACCAACTATGCATGTGTCGACAGTGGCGGATTAACAAGAGTAGCAATGGTACGGGCCCCGCGCATTTGAGGGAACCGCGTACCAACGTTTTATCAATCTCTCCTGAGCGATAGAGCAGCCCTCTCCTACTTTCAATTTTCATTCGCAAAATATTTCATTTTCCTTATCCTACCCCTTAAAATTTCTTTCTGCGTCCGCCCCTGGGCAGATTGATATAATTTACTGCAGACCCGGCCTGTAGGCTGGCTTACTCCGGCACTGTGTGTCGACCACTGTCTTATGGTCAGCGGTGCCCCCTCTTAGGACTATTGAAGCAGGTTATGGAAATCTTTATTTTTCGTCGTTGAGGAATTCCGAGAAGACGGAGACTTAGAAATAATTACCTGTAAGATTAAGGGGTGACCTTTCTTTGGCAGATTGATGGCATGTTCAAGAATATACAGTTTTCTGAAAAGAAGAATGGAATCTGTTTGTATTCCTCTAAGGGCGAGGGCAAAGCGATCCCTCTTGGCAACACGGCGGTGACAAAATACAGCATGGGGGTGGAGAAATAATCGAAATATTCTTCATATTTTATACATAACGCATCCACCATCTTTATGAATCGCATTCATCATATTTTCAAAACCGCACAAACGAAAGAACGCATAATGGAAGACTACACTAAAAAATGGCTTCAGGAAAGTTGACTCTTTTCTTCCTACACAACGCGATCATCAGTTCATAAAGGATTATGATTTTAAAAACTAAGTGTAATAAAAATGTACAGGTATAACACAAAAGAAAGAATTAAGTGGATCAAGTAAGCCAATCAAGCCCATACAATTAGTCCATAGTCCCACCCATTTGATAACGCTGTAATCTAGTAACTTCTTCCCTGCCCTTACAGCAAGTATCGAACATCTGATAACGTCAGCAATGCTATGCTAATCAGCTCGAGCAATGTGGCGGTGAGAGACTAGGAGGTATTCGCTGAAAGGATTTTGTGGGCACTGGGTAAGTTCGTAGTGTACAGCAAGTGCAACATAGACACTTTTGGTGTTTATCAAAGTTTTAAGAGCAAATGTACGCGGAAATCTATATCATGTATCATTGATGTACTAATAGCGTAGAATTAGCGGAGTTGGGCGGAGTTGGAAGCGTAGATAGATATATATATTTATTTAAACAAGTTAATGAACAAGCATTTTTGGAACGTCAATATTATT